TTTTTCCTATGCATTCAATGTAATTTAAAGTACTGGAATTTCTTTAACACACCTTAATACGGAGCTTACAGTCGTTTTTAATTATTTTGCGAGTTTTGTAATAGCATTTATTCCTTCATAAAGTATCATTTTCTTTTCTTTTGTCAAGAACTTTCCTATCTGTTTTCAGTTTGTGTTATTAAGCAAACTTATAAATCTTCCCAAGAGATTTATCGAGATTATATTATCATTAAGGAAAGAGAGATTTATTTAAATTGTATTTTTATTAATAAACCTAATTGTCTCAAAAATATTATACAGATTTTAAAATTTTCTATTGATTTGAATTCTACCTAAACACTCCGGCCAATGAATTAGATGCCTTAGATTAATATTTCAATGGATGTATCTTTTGCAAGGATATTCGTGAGTCAATTTGAAGTGTTCGTAAGAACTGTGATTCAACAAGCTTCTGGAGTACGTTTATAGTTCAGAGAATACCATGCATATGCTACGCAGATCCCGTTAAATTAGATGGAATATCGAATTACTTCCGAATGTGCCTCTCCAGCATGCCCCAAATATTTTCGACTGGGTTAAGATCCGGGATTTGGCGGTGGCTAGAGAAGATGCTGGAAGTCAGATTAACATTAATTGAACCAATTTTGAAAACTTCTATTTCGATGTATGGCTGCATTATTATCCATGAAGTACCCGTTCACCTTCGGAGTAAAAATGTAATATTACAGGTTGCATTTGAACATCATGATACTCCTACGAGACCCCCATATACTGCAGACAAGGCAAGAGGGACTCGTGGTTTTGTTGGGTTTTCGACAAATTCAACATCTTCCGTTTGTGCAAAACCGGTTGGCTACACCCGGTTTTACCCGTCTGCATTACTCGATTCCTGCTCTCAGATGTCCAGTATCGTATTTCCCGACACCACTGCAAATGAATTCTGTCATTTCGGACAGAAATGAGGGGTTTCCAAACACGAATCTGACCAACTATCCCCATCTTCTGCCACTCTCTGCGCATGGTTCAAGTCAAAAACAGTTGCGAAGAACTTTGGTTAAGTTTTTCTGTCAGCTGAAACCTAGTCCCTTTTCTAACTTACGATTCATCGGAAACAACACTGATAGCGTACTTGCTTAATTGCGTTCGAGCTATAGTTCTATCTTCTAGAGTCAAGATCTTCCATCTTCTAGAATCTAGACAATGACTGGATTTTGTATGCAACTTTTGAAAAGTTTTGACATATCTGTTTTTGGGATCCCAATGAGTTCTATTGTCTAGGGATATTCATCCATTTTTCCAACTAGACTGATTTCCTCACCTGTCGTATAATGAAGGCCCTGCTATTAGTCTGACTGATCAAATCCTGAATCCTCTCAGTGCGTACTAGGCATGATTTTTCATTGCCTTCACGAGATCATCGCCAAACAAAACCAATTCCAATAATCCTTAGTCAAAAAATATAGCAAAATAGTTCTGATTTCTGTTTGGATGCTGGTTTCTGTTGGATCGTAAAACTAGTTCATTAAAGTAATTCTTCGTTTACCTGCCATGGTAACTTCGATTACCTGATCTAAAATTTAAAAATAATTTTATCATCAAGTAAGACTCCTCAGTTCAACCTCACACTTAATTGCTGACATGTCACCTCTTCGTACGCCAAAACGAAGGAATGTGCAAACCTGAGTATATCAGCCGTCCTTAATTCCCCATATCTTTATCTCACCCATCAAATATTCAGCTTCTTAGAGGGGTGGGAGCTGAAATCCAGTTGAATCTAAAAGTGGTGGAATCTCGCGAGGTAACCTTCATAATTGTGACGCCTGTTAGGGGTGCCAGCAATAAGTCATTTATCAAAAGGTGAAATACATGTCATTTTTCTAATTCTGGCGTTTATTGTGAAATGCACCCACACCCTTTTCTTACACTAATATTCTGATGAGGTATTACCAATGTCATTAATAAGTTTTGCAAACTTCGCCGTTAGCGAACATTTCATACAAAATCTCTCAGTTTTCTAATTCCTTGGCCATTGTGCACATAAATCTGGTAACTCATTTGATTAATAAATTTCGTTATACCGTTCCTTTCGTTATAAAGTACAGTTCTCTTTTATTTCGGCAAAGAGTCTCCCCTCTGTTCTGCAGATAATGTTATTAAAGTAGTAAATTGCCCTAAGAGATTTATCTAAACTATATTGTTGTTAAAGCAGTAGAATTTTATTCAAATTGTACTTTTATCAATGTACCCAATAGCCCCAATAAAAGTATGCAGATTTTTAATTATTCTAAGAACATGTATTCCAGCTATGCTGATTATTACTTTTATAAACCCTTTTAATTAATAATATTTTTATTTAGAAATCACAAAATAACTTATCGGATTTTGCGTATATTTCGTATTGCTGTTAATCTTTCTGCGACAGCAGTAACCTATCAGCAATCGAACAATCCGGCTGAATTTATTAAGGAGAGATATAGGGCCATGTATAAATGCAGTATATAAATTTCGAAGATCGAAATGCGAGAATTTCTTCATCTTACGCTATTTAAAACACTACTATATAGATACATACATAGTAGCATGTAGTGCCATATTGTGGGCCCCCTAATTGACCTAAAATAATTACCTTTGGAATAGTTCCTTGTAATACCTTGTAATATAATACCTGGCCGAGTTTGAATATTAGGGATTAATATTTTAGATCTACCTAAAGGGCTTGCTATGATCTCATTGATGAACTACAGTGTTTAAGCCAGATAGTTTACGAATAAGATATAAAAACAGTGTGAAAAAGAGAAAACATTTGTAATCAATTTGCAATTCAAATATTTTTCGAATAGCATTTATAAGAACAGATGTTTTTTGAGATAACTTTTATCCAGTCGAGCTTTAAAGAAATTATTATAAACTCCTGTATAAACGCTGACATATATTTCCTTACTTATCATATCAAGATAATCTTTTTCTTCAAAGATGGTAATGCCATTGATGATGTAGGATAATAAAAATAGAAATTTAGTAGCGTTGCCATTCCTAAGAACATTATGATGCTCTTATCAAATTTATTATTTGTCGGTGGGAAGAAAGTCTTAAAAAATGATTTATGAAGATGACATTTAAATACTAGCGACCAAAGAAATAAAATAATATTTCCTATAAATAGGTTGCTGGATATTATTACAACGATCGCTACAATTATATACACCATAAATTTTGGAACATAATATGTATTTTTTATATACATATAATGCGTGCAATTCATTGCGACAGCTTATTTTTTTAGACAAATTCTTGTCATATTCCATGCTTTTTGTACACAAATATTTTACCACTGGTATTGCTACATACCTAAAATTTAAGAAAATTTAGCCTGATCCTTTCTAGTCTTTTTAGAACAGATTGCGTCAAAAAAGTAAATATATGTTAAGAAAATATTTTTTGAAATATTTTTAAGTTTTTTTCTTTTAAAAAAAAGAATTAATAAAAAAGAAAATGGAAATCCGTGATCCATTAGAAATCCCTGAGAATTTTTTACTATTTCGTCTACAAAAATTTCTGCTGAATTTGAACATTGCGATTTTTTTCAATTATGGCCTACATTTTTATTCCTTTGATTACCGAGTTTTTACTCTGTATAAATGATAATAGGCGTAGATTGTTTTAATGGAAAATTGTACTGCCGGGATAGCCTGGTTGGTAGGGCATTGGGCCCATATCAAGGAGTTCGTGGGTTCGATCCCCACCGGTCGAAGACTCCCCGTGTAGTAAATGGTGACTGATGCACGTTAAATCTTTCGAGTTACACAGTCCTCCATGTTCCCATAACAAATCATACCTCTGGGGGTGGTAACAAATCATACCCTTGTCTTCTGGATTGGTTCAAAATTATAAGGCTACGGAGTTGAACATTAGTGGTCGTAAATCCAAAAACTGGGTCGGTTGTTCAACGACGGATATAAAATAAAATAAAATAAAATGGAAAATTGTGTGGTTGGTAGAGTAGATGATCTAATTGATGTAGATAGGGAAAACAGGATAAAAGTGTTATTTCGTTGCAGATCTCGAGGTCCATAATAAAAAGAAAGTTATTCAAGTGACAAATCAAGTAAAACAATGAATTTTGCGTAATATGATAAAGGCCAGGCCGTGGGAGATATATCTCTCACAGCCTGCCTAAGCAAAAGTCAAAAAGTCGTATTTAATCAACGGAGTATCAACGTAATAAGAAACGAATAACAGTTTCACTTATACGATGTTAAAAATCATAAAATAATTGCGCAAAAATAAGAGCGAGTAAAGAAAAGTAAAAAGAATCGTAAAATGATTTGAATAAAGTAGGTACATTAAGCAAAACTGCATGGCAAAAACTAGAATTTGAACTAACGGTTTTAATCCGTTTATGATTTAGATGAAAAAAGGGGAGAAATATGTTTGTCAATTAAACAGCTCTAAACCGTCAAATATACAGAATAAGTCCGTAAAAAAACGGGATTTTGTTTACAGTGTACAAATACTGTGAGAAATGATCATATGGACTGACGCCCAACAAATAATAGCTCTCAAGTGTTGGTCTCTCTTTTTAACCCCCACATTACCTTTATTACACACATTTAAACAAAGCCCTTCATTTTTTGTGTGTATTTTCTGTAATTATCAGCAGATGGCAGCATAAATCGTGGACGAAAAAAAAACTTCCCATTTATATTAAAAATTAATGAAGCCTTTGGGAAGTATGCTTTCCACTGCCTTACAAAAGGATTAAGATAGTAACATGATAATATACGACACTCTGTTGTAAACAAAGCAAAAATTCTCAATTCTCTTAGCTGAAAATATTTGTTTGCAGAATGTCTCATGTTGATCCTATCTCTATTACCATTGTCTTGCCGTTATTCAAGATTAGTTCGGAAAAGAAACAACTTCTGTATAAGTAGAATATGTGAAATAACTTTTCTGAAACACTCGGTGTACATAGTTTTATCAAAAGTTGGGTTACTTACTAGTATAAACTTCTGATTTTTTATTTTTGATGAAAGTTAGAGGAGAAAATATCAAGAGAGATAAGGACAACAGGCTTCAGAATACATCTTGTGTAAATTCGATCATTTGAAAAGCCCCAAACCTAAAAGGAGAATAAAGGAAATGTATTTTTGTGAGATAATATTATATTTCAAACAATAATAAAGTAATTATTTGCTAAAGGTGAAGCATTCAGACGAAGTTAAAAAAAAGTAATTAGTTGATTCCACGACGGGGAAACCATTAGAAATGATAACTTAATTAGGTAACTCTTGAGTTACTATATCTAAATTATATAGTTAGATAAATGAACTCTTCATAACACTTCTCGCTTCGCTCAAGAACTTCGTTTTAAACTATTTTTTTGGTTTCTTGACGATAAACAGATTGCTCTATCGAAATTAAAAAGTATTCAACTGAAAGATTCCAAAATTTAATATTGTATTAATGCAGATTTAGTACATGATTCTATAATGATAAAGTTTTATTTTATAGCCGTCGTTGAACAGCCGACTCTATTTTTTAGTTTACGACTACCGAACAACTCCATAGCCTTGTAATTTTGAACTTAGACCAGACAACAAGGGAACACTTGGATCAAATAATGGGAGAAATTTGCATCCGTGGAGGACATTTTCATGGAACTAACCCGCATTTGTGTCACACGGAGAGAAAATCTCCCACGGGTTAACGGCAAAGGGATTCCAACGCATGATTCGTCTACAACTGCCAACTATTTTATGTCAAAACTGTGGTTGGTGCCGGAACTGTACTTTAATGAAACAGGCCATATAACGCATTTTTATGAATCAGCGAATCAGTTTAAAAGAACCTGTAATTTGGGAAATCCAATCACGATTTCTTTTTTTCATATTCTTTTTATTAAATAACTCAATGTAAAACTTAGCTAAGTTTGTAAAATAAATAAGAATGCAGATTATTTTTGTTTTATTATGAATAAAACTATAAAATACTTCGACAGAAAAATGAAGAAAAATATCTTTAATCTGAACATTAAGAAAATCGTAATTGATTTATCTCTACAATTTTCCTGTACATTATTTCTCATAAATCAGGGGTCATCCAAATTTTTTTTGGATGGATGTTCGATGCAGTATTTTCAGGGATCGATGAATGAATATCAATACAATTTAATCCTAAAGAATTATCGAACCATTCTCTGAAATATCGAAGCGAAAAATCGACTTGAAAATGTCGGCACGCATTTGCAAGAGGATGTCATTGAATTATTAGTAAACTTGGAAATTTTTCCTAATAGTTAAATTGAGAGTTCATTTCGGACGTTATAAATATTACCTAAAAAATATCCAAATTTTGTAATGAGGTATTTTTCTTTTTAATTGCAATTCATAAGGTCATGTATGGTTGAATTTGCTTTTAAACATGTTAATTCTATTTTAATTTAACAGAGAAATAAATTGAATGTGAATCTCCGGGGTGATTTAACACTCTAACTAAATCCAACCCAAACTATCTAAGTGTCATCATCTTTCTTATTTATAAATGTAAAAAATTGACTTTTTCGAAATAAAATAAGTCATTTAAGAAACGGGTAAGTTTTTTCCTCTTTTTCATCGTTTTTATAGAGAGGTCGATGATCGAAAAAGTTTGGTGGTCCCTGGCATAAGTTAAAAGTCTAAAAAACTACAAACAGCAATTAATGTCAATATAAATTTTGTGAATTAGATGACATAAACCAGAATCACACTAGAAATGCCTTTTTTTTTTATAAGAGTGATTCATGCATTGGTATATTTTTTGACAAAGGCTTTATAATTTAATGACTTTTATTTAAAAGAAAAAAATATATTTTTCAGAGTAGAACTAATATTTCGAGAGAAAAAAACTAATAAAAACTTTTAAACTTGGTGATTTACAAACTAATTACAAGTTTGTTACGATTTTTTAAACATATTTCAACTAATAAATTTATTCCTAAAAAAATAATGTTTACATTTTAGGTAAATTATGCTTATTTATAAATTCATAATAATAATGTACTAAATTTTATTTTAATAAAAAAGTTTTTTTTTAAAAATATATAATAATAATGTAGCAAATTTTATTTTAACAAAAAAAGTTTGTTTTTAAATAATAAATGTATAAAAAGTGTAAGAGTTTGGGTTGAGAAAAAAACGATTAAATCTTTAAGTAATTTGCATTGAAATTTTTGCTGTTTTATTACGCCCTTTTTTTTCTCCAAAAACCCAACATCTGCAAAGTTAAAATTTGTTAAAAAAATTGAGCGATGCATTGTGATTTTAAAATTATAGAAGTAATTGACTAGGCCGGGATAGCCTGGTTGGTAGGGCACTGGGCCCATGTCCAAGAGTTCGTGGGTTCGATCCCCGCCGGTAGAAGATTCCTCATGTAGTAAACAGTGACTGATGCACGCTAAATCTGTAGAGTCGCAAAATTCTCCATGTTCCCATAACAAATCAGGAGTTTCCTTGTCTTCTGGATGGGTTCAAAATTACAAGGCTACGGAGTTGAGCATTAGTAGTCGTAAACCCAAAAATTGGGTCAGCTGTTCAACGACGGATATAAAAAATTAAAAAAAGAAATGACCGAAAAGAGAAGTTCAACCCTATATTAAAGAAATACAAAGCTGCTGAATTTTATTAAGATACGGATATCGTGTCGCATAGAAGGCATATGTATATTTCAAACAATAGAGTGACGCTATTCGGAATAAGTTGTAAACACAGAAACTGCCACTGACCCCTAAGCAGATTCTACTTACCGATACCATGTTGGAATAAATAAATAAAATATACTCAGAAAGACACGCTTCTAGATTTTATCTTAATTGTGACGTCTTTTATCCGATAAATTGAAACTTTTTATCTGATTTTACGTAAGTTTTCGTGCCTGATTCCATAACTAATGATGTAAACTGCTCAGATATTCCAGCATACTTCAGATTAGTCGCTGGAATCATTAAGATTGCACATCAGTATGAGAAACTACACTTATTAGATCAAAAGTTATTAGGTTGCTCTATTTTACGCTCAATACAATTTTAGATTAGTCCCTGGAATCCTTAAGATTGCATATTAGTATGAGAAACTACACTTATTAGATCAAAAGTTATTAAGTTGCTCAATTTCACTCTCAATACAATTTTAGATTAGTCCCTGGAATCATTATGATTGCTTATCAGTATGCAAAACTACACTTATTAGATCAAAAGTTATTAGGTTTATCTATTTTACACTCCATACAATTTTTGAAGAAAATACTTAAATTATGGAAGAATCTAGAAATAAACAAAGCATTTTGAAATTAATATCGGATTATTTTGATTATTGAGTTTAATATCACAATAGCCAACTCAGAAGGCAAGGATACTCCTGTATCAATTATTGCTCCCAACAATCGAGTTTATTTTTCAAAGGTTTTATATTTATGTTTTTATGTTTTTTTCTTAAAAAAAACTGTCTTTCACACATTTCAACATTTAATTTCAATCTGAGAAATTGAATTATATTTGCATGTACTAATGCATTTCTTTATAACATACTTCCAATGTGATAGTTATTTATGAATTAACCTTTACCCCTTATCCAAAATTCGTATTCTCTTGTCAGTCTTGTTAAACAAATGCAATTGTCTTTATTTTAATCTGAAGCATAATAATCCCCTCAAGAATTAGACTGAATAAAAATATCTGAGTTGCGAACAGTTCAATTTGCGCAGATAGAGAGGACTGAAATTGTTTCGCTGTTTAAAAAATGATTGATGAATCCCACGTGACGTGTTTCAACAGAAACCATTTCATACGAATAAGTTCTTTTTCAGCAGAAAACAAGTTGTAAAAAATAACTTTATTTCCTGGAAACACAATTTTCCTTGTTTCTTTCAAAATTATCTTAATATATTTGAGCTACAGCATTTGAGTACATATTTTTTTATTCAAATTGTTTTGAGATCTCTCGAAAGAAACTGTTTTAAAATCTATTAAGTTTGGGAAAAAGTGAAACAATAAACATAAAAATTTCTATCGATAAACTGAGAAAAAAGTATTGTAAAACTACCAAAGTATGATAAAACTATTTCTGTGTTTCCGGCTCTGTGGAAATACCAAAAAACTCGATGATTTTTACCTATGCGCTTTGATAAAATTAACTATTATATGTGGTTTTATAATATGTGTCAAAATTTAGTAAATATGGTGAAGGTTATTAATTTTATTATGATATCTTTGATCATGGCATAAAAGCTATTTATTGAATTTGCTGATCAGTTTTGTTTATAGATAAGTTGTTACTTCTGGCAAACTCTTCTAATATATAAATTTTAACTTCTGACAAACGCTTCTAATATATAAATTTTAACTTCTGACAAACTCTTCTAATATACAAATTTTAAGTTCTGACAAACTCTTCTAATATATACATTTTAACTTCTGGCAAACCTTTACCAGATAAATGAAAAAGTTCATACCATATTAATGAATTAAATTCTTTACCATATAAATGAGTGGTTTAAGTATCATCATTCAGTTTTATTTGTCCGAATTATAGTTATTTCCAGCAAAAATGTCATTACCTGCAGAATACTAAACTTACTAGAATTATACCATATATACCAGAATATATACATGGGGAGAGTAGATATCGACAATGTCAACCTTCATCTTTGAAAAGGTACCCCAACATAGTCTTATATACTAAGGAATTGGAATTGTATTTTTGAAGTGGTAGATACCCTACAGTAATCCTCCACCAGAATTTTATCTGTGATAGAATTCGATGAATGGGATACCACTAGTTGATTCATTGCTGTTTTGTGAGATGCCGGGAGAGCTGTATTTAGATCCCAGTACTTTTTTTGAGTTCTGATCATGAAAGCTGTATTAAGTTCACGATCGTGGTAGCTCCCGTGTTGCTCTTAGCAGTCGAGTGTATATGTTGTACGTTGTATGTGATCGAGACTGAGAAAAAACAGCGTGAGGAGGACAATATCGCAGTCAGAACTAGCAAGTCAGCTTTTCAATGTGGACCATCGATCGAAGTGGGGCTGTTCAAATCTAAGTGGGTGTTATTGTTAAGATAGGTCTGTTCAATTCGAAGTGGGAGT